TAAGAGTAAGATACTAGTATAGTTTATGCAGTTTGATTTCATAATATTTTGTATATCCACATTACACAGACTGACAGGTTCGTTTAATACCAAAGCTTTGTTTGAAGAATATTTTGTTCGTAAAATAGACCTGATTTGGTACCAAAATGGTTGAACTTTACGGCATTCCCGGCCTTATAATGAATTACGAGTCATATCTTTCTGAAACGAAAAATGCCTATTTATACATATTCCAGTTGTTATTTATGTGTAAGACTTGGTCAGAAATAAGATATTTGCATATTAAAAAATGGAGAATAATGGTATATCGATGACTGTGTAAAATCTTAATACCGGAAATTTTGATTAGAATTATGCGTGAATATGAAATTCGTTTACTTATGTTCTACCTTGATTTGTTTCTATTGAAAAGAACTTGCAAATAAATACATAATTTGAAAAGTCCGCAACATTCGTTTAACAGATATAAACGAATGCCAAACAAATCCATGTGAGAATAAAGGAACGTGTGAGGATAAAGTGAACGGCCGGATATGTTACTGTAAAGATGGCTATGAGGGTACAAACTGTGAAAAAGGTAGGATTTCGTTTTTCTTGTGCAAAGGTGTCTCACTTAATTCTTAGAATCTTAATCGGCTATTTTGATTTTGTTATCGACTTTATTCTTGTTTTGCAATATTTGTTTAATGAAATAAAAGCTTCTTTTAATTTTTGTCAAAATAAGTAACATCTATATAACATTGTCATATGTATGAAAAAAAATTAATGAATGCTCAAGCAATCCATGCATTAATGGCGGAATTTGTAAAGATCTTGTCAATGAATACAATTGCACTTATGCTCCTAGCTTTGAAGGACCTAACTGTGTAAATGGTATGCATTCATAGACTTGTTTTATATATGACACATGAAGAATAGTTTCTTTTTAATATGTCAAAATGTCTTATATATTCATTTTATGCATAGAATAGAGAAAATAGGAATCCCTAAAAAGTTCAAAACGGCAATATTGAAAATGTTGCAGGCTCGGTTTGATTGAGCCTATTCATGGACGGTTCCATGTTTCCAAATGTAATAAGATTCTTACATTGTATCAATATATCTTTTGGCCTCCGACATCATTGAATAAAGAAAATTAAGTTTTGAAAATTTCATACCGCTTAAGCCATTTCTAGATGACGTAAGGGATGCTGCACTTTACTTTAATCTCGTTATATCTTCAGTAGTGAATTATCTTCTGTTTAACAACAGACTCCTTCTTAGATTCGAACTATGGAAATTACAACTTTAACTCTTACCATGCTTGACCTGAACATAATAAGCCCGTTCTTCCAGTAGAGAACCAGGCCATTCTGCATATATATATGTCAAGTCGGATTAGACTCAATACTGTCGGTAGCTAATTGTTTTGTTTGTTTGTTTGTTGTTTCTTGTGTAGCTTGCTATTGAAATCCCAGAAATTTTGAATGGAATTTTACAAGGTCAACGCAGCAAAAATCCATGACAAAAGTTCAGCGCGATCAGAAATAAATAAGTATATCTAATTGCATTTGAAACACATTTGTATGTTATTTACAGATATAAATGAATGTTCAAGCAATCCATGCAAGAACGATGGATCATGTACAGATCTTGTCAATGGATATGAATGTACATGCGTGCCCGGATACGACGGCACAGTGTGTGATAATGGTAAGGAATAAACATTTACACTATATCAAATGCGATTATATGTATATATTTTAGAACACGTCAACAGAACACAATGCGTATTTTTATACAATAACAAAGTAAATGTATAATTAATGGCAATTCACAAAGCAAACTAAACGCATGATTAAACGTTTTTAATGTCTCAATTATTCAGTTATCAAATAAGAATGATACTTTCTTAATTGTGGATAGAAAAGACAAAAAAATGACGTAATTTTCATTTTTGGTCACCATTTTAGCTTTTATATTTTGTTTATATAAAGGAAATTACACGATCCTCTCGCGTTATATCAGTTTTAACAGCAAGACTATTAATAATTTGTTAAGGTATTACAGTTTTGTCTGTAAATTGTAATAGCATAACTGTATCTTATTTTTCACATCGAAATTCTTTTTCAAAGTGATTTGTTTTGCAAGAGTCAGATGTCGGATATATAATAGTACAAACGAAATCGGAAATCATGAAAAAAAAGTCGATGAAATCGAAAAACAAACAGAATTACTTAGGAAAGCCGAAAACATCAACATTGAAAATAATTGAATTTTAGACGAAAGCATTTCTAAGCAACGTACTTTAGGTCACAAGCAGTAGCGCTCAAAGTAAAAAGTTAAAAGACAAACAATATGAGTTGCCTTTCAGTCGATATCTGTTTTTATAATTACATCTTTAGTAAGTGTTTTCCCATTGTCATTTAGTTAATATCCGCAATATTTTAGCTGCATGTCACGAACCTTTTTAAAAATCTTCGGTTAGTCCAAAGTCAACCAAACTTGGCAGGATTGTTCCTTGGGTAAAGGGCTTCCAGAGACGTTCAAAGAATTTGATTCCATGCAGGAATCTGGTTTAATTTATATTATTATCCAGTTTGTATAAATAAATACAAGATATACATTTTACAAATTTACAAACATATTTCAAATCATTTTAATTATAAGAACAAACAATGATTACATCAGAAAAAAACTTTTTATAGAGAATAAGGAAAGTAAAGTTAAACTGATTTAACATGATGCTTATTAAGATTAAAAAAATCAAAACCTGTTTTCATAAAATTGTGGTCAAGACTATTAAAACCTTTTTTAAAATCAGAAAAAATATTAGCCCTTTTCATTTACATTATTAATATATTCAATAGTCTCTTGTAAAATTCTAACATTTTCAGCAATATATCTACCTTTAATAAAATCTGTTTGCTCTGGAATTATAATAGATGGAAGTTTGTTTTTTATTTTATTTGACGCAATGTTGTAGTCTACATTTAGTAAAGAAATCTGACGCAAATTATTTATTGATAACGTATCTTTGTCTGTCCTTGGTAACAAAGTAATAGTACTTTGAAGTTCTGTAAGATTTCTGTAAGGTTATCATAAAATGTAGTTTGGAGAAATAATAAGAAATCGTTTTAAATCATTCTAAAATATTTTGTAAACATCAGCAGTTTTTAATTATTGGAAAGATAGTACTGAAGAAAAGTAACTGTAACTGCATTGCAAAGTTTAATTCAGCTATGTTATACAGACAAAAGACTATTTTTTTGTCAAGTAAAAATTATTTTATTTTTGAATTTAATATTGCACTATGGACTTTGTATCTTAATATTAGACACATCTTTACACTGTATTTCATTTGACATGCTGAAATATGACCTCGACCCCCAAATTCACTAGACACTAGACACTACGGCAAAGTTCAATTGTATAGAAACAAAAAAATCTATTTCTGTTATATAAATGCGGTGTCAAAGGATTTTTTCACACATGCAATCTTGTTTTTTTCTTGTGCTTTTTTGTAACGTGTTTTCCCCGCATATTCCATTTTGAAAAAAAAGCAGAATATACGTCTGTCTTTACTCTGCACATTCTAGAACCAAATATTCTGCGAGTATCATGTAGACGTCCAAATATTGTTTTCTTTAATTATTTTAACATAAAACGCAAGCCGACAAATAAGATGGTTTTGGTAGCATTGGCAACCATTGTCATTCCCTTTCCAAAAAAATATCTGAATGAGATAAAGCGTGTGTGCACCTACATTGTCGTGAGTAACACGCAAGCCTCTAAGTATTTGATAACAATTCTTCACCTTTCAAAATGGACTTCTTCACATGACATTGCTTTTAAAACTTGGAACTAGCGTTTAGCTACGAAGTATAAGAATTAAAACCCCTGGAGTATAATATTTAACCTTTTCTTTCTTTTTTGTTTTGGCAATAACAGGTCTCAGGCGTAATTTATGTACAAACGTACAGCGTATTAAGAACTAACTAGTAACTTGAACGTATCTTACATAAAATTAATAACGTTGGTTACGTTGATCCGTCGGGACTTATTATATATTTGATTATCTATGTCACATTTCAGCATATTACTGTTTTCAGGTTTATTTCACCAACAAAGTAGATCAGCATGATTTTCCTTTAATTATTTTGCATTTAAATCATTTAGATATCACGACAACGACAAGGTCGAGTGATCAAAATTTTGTACGGACATCTGTCACCATGATATTTCCAGTCAAATCAAATTTCAGTGTTTCAGATTCTAAATTAAAGGATGATGTAAAATATCAGGTATTTCTATTTTCATCTTATAACAATGATACAATGAAACATATTTTTCAGGGGCATTAACATTTATCATCGAATTTTCATGTTTACATCTCTTCAGTCAAGAGCGTCACTTTTCTGCATCTATGTTAATTTTAATATTTAAGCTTCGTACATCTATTATAATCTTTTAAAGTTTTTGCGACGGTTGCCGTGATAATTAGCAACCTGTCGTTTTAAATCTTGGTAGTTATTTTCATTATTGCCCATTCTAAGGCGGTGTTTTTCAGAATACCTTGAATCGTTTGTACTACCTGTTTCGTTTAACATTGTATAACTCTATCTATGTTTATCGATAAATACACTTTCAAAAATAACTTGTTTTAGCTGATGACAATATACAAAGGTTACATGGGCGAGACATTCAAGGACTTAGTCATAAATCGCATAAGGTAGTTTTTCTCATAAAACTTTTACCTATATAAATCATTACGTTCCTTCTAATACTTTAAGTTATTTAGAGATGAAAATGAAAATTAAAAGGTAAAACGCTGATTGCATTTACCTTTTCGAGACAAACCTTGTGATAACAAAACATTGAAAAAAATGAGATATTGTATTTTGTATCTGTATCAATAGTATTCAGTTATTGTATGACGATTTTCATGCACTAAATAATTTATCTTATGACCAAAACTAAATTCTGCATTTCGAAATTTTCAAGACTTTAATGTTGTTTTTTTTTCGAAAATATGTTCCTAATAAGCACACTGAAAACCCAGAAGTTTTTGCTACTTGCCTCGACTAAACGCAACAAATGTGTCTATAATGTTGTTTACTTTTTTTAAGTGCTGGAAGTCTTGTGGTTGATTTCGATCTTATTTATGATAATGATACACCCGCTGCATCAAAGGATATTGCCGAGGCAAATATTGCTCTTCTGAGTGGAGGATCAAACATTGAAGTGTTAAATGAAACTGTTTCTGCAACGTCATTAAAAGTAAATGGTGTTATCGGTAAGTCTTTTTAAGTTTTCTTGGTTTTGATATTGTATGTCATTCCAGGTGTCGCTTTATCTAGAATGATTTACCGGCGTCTAATTATTTAAAGTAACTTATGCTGAAGAAAATCGTAGTCATTGTTTAAAACCAAACCATTACTTTAGACGTTTAGCCTTATGCATTTTAAGCTCTCAAATTCAACCAAACCTTAATCATTGTTCAGATCAAAAAGACAAAACTTCTTTGTTTTGTCATCTTTACCTTAGTGTTGGTTTTTAAGTAAATTTTGATCCTGTCATGATTGTGATGACTTTGTAAAAAAATAGGGTCACATTGGTTCGTTTGTCTCTTTCAAAAGTGTAATTTTTTTTTCAGTTACTAACACTACTTTATCAGATCATAAGTCTGTTTGTAATATGTATGAAGCACTCAATGGAATGTGTCCTTCTAATCAACACTGCATTGCTGTGGATAGTCAACCATCATGTGTGTAAGTTTATCATCTTAATTTTTATCTATAATTTCGATTGCCTTTTTGAAATTATTCAATGTCTTCTGTATCTGATAGTATAACAAATGTATAGTTAAGCAGCATTTACAAGTTTTCTAGTATGTAGTGACTTATTATGACGATTAATCAGAATTATCACTTTTATTAGTGTTTTTCACTATCAATTTGATGATTATTGATGAAACGAATACTAAACAGCGATTAATGTCCGCTCTGTAAAAATATTTATTTATTTTAAATGCGTTTACATAGAATAATTGTATCAGTTGTTATTTTATTGCAGGTTTAATGAAGTAGATAAAAACAGTAAGTGATGAATTCAATATGAATCCTTAGTTTAAACATAAGAACTAAAATTATAAATGATCATAGCGTTTATTGGTTCACATCTTAGATATTATTGCAAAAAGGTTATATTTGCAAAGAAATCGTGACCAAAAACAATGATTAATGTTAAGTTGAATGCCAATGAGTATTTTATAAAGTAAGCATTGTGCATTGTTGTTTTTCAAATATTGCTTCACTAAATTCGGATAAACATAACATCTCTGTGTCTATGTCAATAGCATGGTTTGTACGGCATTATTGATAAACTTCTTTTCTCTAACATTGATATGCATGTATTTGTATCACCAATAGATGGTTTGGCACGTGTGATTGTAATGGTTGTTGTTGCAATAGTTGCCCTAACCATAATCGTGCTAATCACCTTACTTGTAATTCGTAAGATACGAAGGATGGAAAATCGTAACTTACCAGATGAAGAAAAAAAGTTCACCAGAAGAAACAATAGGTCAGTACGCTAACTCTTGTTTCATATCACACATATAGTATAATGATTCACGAAAAAACGTATCGTTAATCTTAGAAAAAAGAGACTGTCAGGTTTTGTAAACGATCTTCAGCTAATGAGCAGATAATCTTTATTTCATTAATTTCACAGAATATGTGTTTTATCCATTATCAATGTACAAATCATATGAAAAACTTTTTAAAGAATATTAATTGACTGGTATAATATTTTCAGATATTTGAGTCAGATCACAATGAAATCCTTATCACAGTCATGTCCCAGACCATGACGACTACTCAAGACGATCAAGTGACTTGTGTTGTGTAACTTCCACAGTATTAACTCGCTACTGTGATACTCAATATACGTGACATTTCATGCGTTAAGTTAAGATTACATTCTATCTATAAAAAAAAATTGCAATCTGTTAGCATCAAAATCAGGAAAAAAATACGGTCTGTCTAAAAGTGATGACTATTTATCTCATTAACAAATTTAAAAACCGTCCTTTTTATTCAATTTTTTATTCTAAACTTGTTTTCTTGTTGCGCATTCTTTATTCGTGCCAGTGTAATTCTTTGTTTATATATCTGCATTGACAATTACTTTCATTAATGTTCACTGAGACAAAACTGCATACAAATCATTTGATTACTTTACAATGTCCTATCTCAATATATATATTTATATACATATACATTATGTATATAAATTTGGAGAAAATAAACGTTCATACAGTGCTAAGGTATAAATACGGTATTTATACTTTAGCACTGTATGAAAGTTTATTTTCTCTAAATTTATTGTTATTTTTTCCACGTTCTTGTATCCTTCTTGGGATCCAGTGTTTTATAAAGGTATTTTGTAGATGCAAATATTTTTCACAAACCTATATATATATATGTATATATATGTACATGTATATGTTGTATAGCAATTGAATAAGTAGAGATTAACAGAATTATTGAGTATACTGCAGTAGTGACATATAAAAAGAGAAACTCATTTTCAATAAATTTGTAATACTGAACTGAACAACATCGCTTGTTTCTTTCTATATTATTTTGCGTTTACCTTCCAGTTTGGACTCACAGGGTATACAAATAAATTCAAAGATTAACAAAATAAGTGCATATCTTTTATGGTTATACGGAAAAATCGGCAATTGGCAGAAAGTTTCAGGTTTTAAGTCATATATGTATTAAAGTTATTGAAATAAAAAATTCGTTTTGGTTCATTATTATCGTACCTGATTAATTTATATCAGGACCCAATTTTTTTTTTTTTTAATATTATGGTGACTGTATTATGTTAGTATTAAATTGACATAATGTCATTTTTTCATTGTCAATGTTAGTTGAATTGCCTACAAGTTTCAAAAGAATGACTGTTATAATGGTGACTGATAAAAATTTTATTGGAAAAAGGTAAGCATACAATATAAATCTGTTTAAAATATGAAAAGACTTTTTATGAAGTGAACATTACATGTTAATTCCAGTGAATACTAACAACAATTTCCCTGAACCACGTTCATGAGGAGAAATGCAATTATGACAAAATGTAAAATTATTTTGACTTTCACCCGTGCACTTACAATATACCCTTGAGTGGATAATGAGGCATAATGTCACTTTTATTTTGTTATATACAAATAGAATATTACATCCCGAAGAAAATGTATCACACATGAAATAGTTCAAATATATCAAAATGTCTTGGTTAATTTAAGATGACTGCAGACATTTATTTCATTAAAATTATAAATAGCAAACAGTTTACATTGTCAAAATACCATTACACTCTTATTGTCATTCAAATAAGCAATTATTTACACAATAACCCAAACATGACGACACTTATTAAAATTTATAAATCTTGACTATAATTTTCGGGTAAGAATACAATTTCTTGTTCTTTCACACTAAATACATGTATTGCTATTGTCACTTTCTAAGAACGTCATAAAAATTGGTATTGATTGATTGATTTAAGAAATGATATATCCAGAGCAATGATTTTTTTTTCCGCTAAAATCGAAAGTTTTTTCGATAAAATCCAATGGTAAGATACAACGTCATCGCGCAGTATCCTACCATTTAAGTCACCGCATGGAATATATAATTTCGATTCTAACACGACATCAACAAATAAATTGCACCTGATATTAAGTTTATTTGTTCCTGATTTGTTTCCGCACTTGTTTTCACAACGGTCAACAAATCGATTATTGTTTATTTACAAACACAACGGAAACTGCGGGTCGTGTCACCTACATTTTTTTTGCATAGTTATAATTGATTAAATATGTTTTGTTGTTGTTGTTTTTTGTTTTTATTGTTGTTATTTTGTTGTTGCATGTTTATTTATTTGTTGCAATTATATGTTACTGATTATTTTATTTATTTCAATCAGTTAATTCAATTGACAAAATTGTAATAATGTGTTTGTAATTTCAGATGACATTGTCATGAAAATATTTTATTTTTACTTTCCAAAAAAACTACCGTTCTACTAATCTTAAAAAATATATATAGTTCATAGAAATCGAAATAAAACTTTAAGATGTTCATATTTTTACATTTTTGCTCTGAAAACAGACAGCTCACTTTTCTACCAACGGGATATATCTTCTTTTATGATACTAGGAATTCTTTCATCCACGTTATGTCACGGGAAAATATCGCAATCTGTGATCCGTGAAGTACGAAATCCGGGATCGTATTAAGCATAGAGGGAAACGAATAAACTCCTTTTGTTTTAATATTTGAAGTAATTTGTAGCACCAAAATTATTATCATATATATGATGATTAGTTTATCGATTTAAAACTTTACATTAGGCCTACTCATTAACGAACATTTATGTACGATACTGGGCATAACGGATTCCTATTTTTTTCCGAACTTCTGTCATGACACGTGACCATGTTGAATAAATAATCTTTCCTTCTTATAATAGCTTCTACGTTACTAATTATGCAAAGAAGAAACACGAATTATTGACATTTTTGTCAGCATTCTCTCTTGAATTTAAATGTCAGTAATAACTGATTTGCACATTAAATGTTATTGAACCAGTATTTACCGTTTACTTGATTTTTTGTTTCATTTTTCCATCGGGAGGTGAGTGGATTTAAAAAGACTTTTATGCCTGAAATGTAAAGAACTTATACACGCTCAGTATAATTAATTGTCGCGGTAGGTCCTGTAAGAAATATGTCTATTGTCACATTCTAATACCCTGCAAGGTAAAACGTTTATATATGTCTATACGAAAACAGTAGCAAACGTAAATTATTTTTATTCTTCATGTTGCTTCCATGTTACCTCTTATTGATCAAAAGTAATGTCTTTTAAATCCCTTCGTGATCTTATATCTTGTATAAATGCATTATTTTTAAGCGTTATATATGAAATTATATACCTGGCACGCTGTTCTATATTAAAGCTGATAATTAAAAGGGTCAATGTCACAAAAGCTTAAATATTTTTCTTTCCTGTTATCCATTGTATATGCTTATCAGGAATCTTCTATTTTTGTTTCGTTTCTAATCTTCAGTTTAATAAAGTCCATATATACATGATAGTGTGAATGTTTGTTTGTTTTCTCTTGTTAAAGGTCCACTATGCCTTTTTTCTATTTATTGTCCTGTTAAAGTTTCCAAATTGTTCTCCATTGACCTATTACCTGAACCATCTTATACTTGTGTTGCCTATTGGAGGTTACTACACTTAAAGTGATTAAGTATTTCGAATAGAAGTCAATATACTACTTTATTAAGATTTTTTATGACTTTTATGACACAAAGTTTTACATTCATCGCTACTTTGTTCAGCTGATTAGCGTCTGATAAAGTTGTAAAACTCGTATTTGTCCTTTCTAAAGAAGTTTTGGTTTGAAGAGAATATAACGTGTCTTAAATGCTTCGCATGTTTATATTATACATTTATCTTTGTAAATCATATTTTTATATACCTTGTGATATGCATAATACATATACATGTATTTGGAGATTACTGTTTTAAGGTTTCTTTTCATAATTCTTTTATGTATATTTAGATATTTATCACTTTGTTTTTACTGAAAACCTTGATAATGCGTGCGTTGTAGTTATCTCAATATGAAGTTCAATGTTCAGAAAGGCACATACATTACATCTGTTCAACATTACAAGTCATATTTTACCCAAAAAAAGTCAAAAAGTCAAATATTTCATTGGCAAAAACATAAACATGTTCATCGCCAAGTAACATTTTTGCGGTACAATACAAAGTATAGAAAAGTAAAATACATACATTTAAGAGCATTATGCAACAATGAAGTCTCTAAATCATATAAATAAAAAGGCTTCAGGAGTTTGGATGATTTTTTAATAGTAAGTAATCAATAAACATATTCATGCACCATGAAGTTAACTGTCATTCCATCAGCCTGTTCTCCCTCCCTCCAGAATCTTCATCTTGGATGAGCAAAACCCACTTTTGCAATACTGTCCTTACCACTTTAAATAAAGGACTACATCTCAAATTTCTTCCAAGTATTTGCGAAATCTTACTATTTAGTTTAGCCAATGAAGTGGTTGTCACATAGCTATCACATGGTATAGGAACACTTTACAGATAAATGCTCTCAATTGCTTAAGGTATTACCATCCTAATACATTACCTCCGCTTTGAAGAGTATTCAAATAGGCTCGAACTACTGTTAACTACATTGTAAATGAGGGCCATGGGTTCAATCCCCAGAAGGGTCAACTTTTGTTTCTTTCTTTATTTCTTTTAACATTATTTACGTATCTTTCATGTCCCATTTGAAAAGAAAAAAGTGTTTAATTTTGATTTTTGACTTTTTATAGGTATTTATTGGCTAAATTATGCTAACTCCGGTAATAAATATGGTACCTGATATTTTCAAAGTGTAATAAAATCAAAACTAGACGGTAAAAGTATTTCATATTTTACAAGGTCAACCAATATACATCTTTGAAAATCTAGGGAAACTTTGAGAACAGGCACTCATTTAGGTAAATTTTAAGGATTTTTTAAATTAGGCTCCCTAAGTAGGAATGGTCAAATACATGGTAAAAATGGGTGGGGTAGGGTAACATTTTTATACAGATTTCATAAATTTTAAGTAAAAACCATACTTTTGCTTATGGGGATTGTTATCTGAATGGTATTATTTGTATCTTACCAAAAAGTAATGGGAAAACATTTTTCATTAGAATGTTATTGCAGATTATTTAAAGGTTCCTCATTTCTAAAAAAGGGCCCTCATAACATCCTAGCTGGAGTTCAGAAAAGTGGCCATAACTTGAAATTTTGTTTAAATTTTGCATACAGGTGTATCTTAAGGTATATATCTGACCTATGATGTCATTGTTTAGTTCCTTATAGTGCCCATTAGGGTGGTAATACCTTAAGATGGGTTCTTTTTATAATATTCATTATCAGATAAGTTTGTGGTGTATCTATTTGACATGTATTACAAGACTAATGGAAAATTATAGAAAATTACACAAAGTAACAACATATTTAATATCATAAATATCTGTTCATATACATTGTTTTCATTTAGTAGACATTTCTGAAACATTAGTAATTAATTTGTTAACATCATAACAACTTATAGTGACAGATACACAGGTCGCGAACAAGAGGTTTGAAATACGTTTGGG